TGACGGCGGTGACGGTGGCGCCTCTGGTGTGCCCCAGCCAAGTCAGAGGTGGCCCAAGTCGCCGCGAGGCACGAGAGCAGCAGGAGCAAGCGGACCGCGCCATGCCTCCAGCCCACCTGACTGACTGCCTTCCTCTTGGCCCGCTTTTCCGAGGCCGCGCCGAGACGTTGCTGCCGCAGCAGCTTGATGCCAAGCAGCAGCGCACAACACGCAGCGAGGAGGAGCAGCAGCGCCGCTGCAGAAGCGCCGAAGGACTCGTTCAGCTCGCGGTGAGTGCCAATGCTGTCGCGCTCCTCCGCTGGTTCGTAGGCGAGATCCTGGCGCGTTTCCACATGCGGGCCGAGTGTGCCGGCGTAGCGGGCAACGCCCTCATCCCATGCGTGCGCCGCTCCAAACCTTGGCGAGAAGTGATTCAGATCGCCGGCCTTGCCGCAGCCGTCGATCGCGCCCTCGCTGGTCACGTCGTACGCCCCCTTGTTGGTCGCCTCGACCCGCGCGTCCACGGCATGGTCGCTCTCCACGGCGTGGTCGAGGCCGTCCCCGAGCAACCACGGCGCGATCGTGTTTGGCCCGTGCCGCGCTGAGCCGGTGCCGGCAAAAGGAGCGCTTGCCCACTTGTCCGTGTAGCCGGAGCCGATGCTGTGGTAGAGCGAGTAGGCCGAGGCAGTTTGCTCGAGCCAGCCGGAGCAGTCATCGCACATCTTAGTGCGAGTCGAGAAGCGCTGCACGGTGCAGATCGGCCCGCCCGACTTGATCGAGCAGCCGCACCAGTGCGAGTCCTCTACGTGCGTGGTCTTCACCGATAGGATGTCCGAGCCAAGGGCGGTGCCGACGGTGAAGGCGGTCCCCAACATTGCGGCGGTGTTTGCGGGCGTTGTGATGGCGAAAAGCAATTAGCGACTGTGTTTTCTTTTTACCGCGCTACGAGCTTGTAGCGGAGCCGCGCGGTTTGCAGTCGAGTGCATGCATCCGCGCGTGTCTGCAAGCTAAAGCTTGGCACAATGCCGCGACGCACTGGCGACGCGACGGTGCTCGAGCTGGCCAGCATCGATGACACCGCAGGCGGCAGCCGGCACATGCCCCTGGCGCTTGCAGAGGCGCTCGCAGCGGGTGAGGCTACTGTCGCGCAATTCGGCCACGGTGAGGTCCCCGAGCCCAATGGCTGGCGGCGCGACCGCCGTCGCACCTGGCACATCTGGCGCTTTATTTCGGTTGCGGCACGCTGATCGACCTCGGCCAGGTGCCCTGCCGGCTGCGGCGGCGGGTGGTCTACTCGCTCGGCATGCCTCGTGCGGTGCTTGAGAATGTCCGCGCGCAGGTGCTGCTGTGCGTGCTCATTGGCGCGAGCATCGGCTACCCGCTCATCATCGCCTACGTCTCGGCCGCCCGCAACAGCCACCCAATCACCCCGCCCATTCTGTGGAGCCGCTGGTACCACCCGCTACCGCTCAACACGTGCGTGGCTTTCTAGTGCTCTGCCTCGCTTCCCAGACAGCTTGTCGAGGCTGTACAGAGTGCCGAGAGCATGCTGGGCAGGCTCCCGTCGAGCGACGAGCCATGCTGGCTCGTCGCGGCCCGCGAGCTCGAAGACCCGCGCGGAGCGTCGCCGAGCCTGGCGTGCCCGCCCGCACGCCCGCGGCCGCAGGCAAGGAAGGCGAGCTTCCTGGCGTCTATGCCAAGCGCTCACATGCCAAAAGACACCTCGCAGCGCGCGAGACGTGACCGAAGCGGCACGCCTCGGCGCCGCGAGAGCAGCCGGTTGACGTCGGCACCAAGCGCACGGCCGCCGGGCGCCTCCGAACCGACGGGGGAAAAAAAGAAAAAATAAGGTCTTCCACCTTCGATTGCCATCAAGCCGAGCCCAAATCCGTCAAAGTTGCCCCGCGTTGAGCCCCGCCGCTCGTAGCGACGGCCGCAGGTCGGCCCGGTGCAGCGCGCCCTGGCCGCAGACTGAAGAAAGGCCACGAGGGGTGTGTGATGTGCGGTGCGGGGTGTGAGGGGGCAGCGTCTTTCTTTGTGTGTGCGCGCGCGCTCCGCTGCCGGGGCCCTCGGGGTACGCCTCGTCCGGGGAGGCTCACGATCTGAACTGAAGAGGGGGGGGGGTTGGCCTTGAGAGCTTCTCGGCAGAGGGAAAAAAAAGAAAAA